TGCGAAAACCACCTTGGAAAAAAATTGAGGAATAGGGGTTCGGAATCCCTGCCTCATCCGCCTCACAGCCCAGACCTGACTCCATCCGATGACCATCTGTTCCGGTCAATGGAGCACTCCTTGGCCGAGAGAAAATTCAAAAACCGCGAAAAAGTCCAACTCAGGGTGTCCAACTACTTTGAGTCGCAGCCGGCCGAGTTCTGCAGGAGAAGAATCCATTCTTTGCGGAAACGTAGGCGACAATTCATTGATAGTAATGGAGAATATCTTTTGAATGGATCTTGTTTAGTTTCGTTTATATAATAAAAAATTTTTTGAACTCAAACGCGCATTCCTTTCCGAACAACCTAATACGTGAATGTGACCAACTGAACAAACGAGTATGTTGATGTTAAGGGTCGGCTATTCAAGAAGAACCAGTAGGCCACTCTATTGGATTAGGTTAGAGTAGCTATCGAAAATTTTAAGAATAGGACATAGACGAAACGTTCAAAATCTTTCAGTATTAGCGAGTCCCATTTCTGTAATGCGCCCATGCACTTGACCTCCATTCAGAAAGCAGACTAAAAGGAGTAAAAAGCTCGATCAATCAAGGCGGGTATCGAGACAGGATTCGTTCCTAGAACCATGTTTTAACAAGTGTACGGCTACTGCCGCTATACCACTCGATTCCAAATAGAACCTTTATGAGGGAACTGGAATTGTATCCGGTTGCACTCATCACAGGGAATAAGATACTGTGCTCAGTATTCAACTTCTGATAACCTTCAAACTGCTGGATGCTTTCTTCGTCAGCACTGCAGAGGATGAAAACTTGTGGATGTTCAGGTCAGAAATCCGCCATTCTTCCAACATGGCTTAATGAGACCCCTTTCGATGCTGGAATATGATGCACCCACCTGGTCACCTTCACTGACATAAGCACTACCTCGAAATCAAGGCAACAGTTCAAGCATCAATAGAAAAATCGCGCATGAACAGAACTCAAACCAGCTCTTTCAGATGACCAAGCGCCATGAGAAAGTTGAAAAATGAAAGAATAAAGGATAAAGTCTCGGGGCGTTAATGAATCCCGTCTGAGGGATGCGCCCCCGCACTCGACTTCCATTCAGATCGCAAAGGCGTATTGAATGCTTATGTGGCCTATACAATTACTTTCGGTGGCCCGCCGATGTACAAGTCAGCGCTTTTATCCGCCCAGACGAGTCTGGTACCAATTAACCGACCCAAGAGGTATGGAAGGCTTGGTTGGCCTATCGAGCCGGGATTCGAACCCATGACCGTGACCTTGAAAGTATATGCAGCCAAAAATTCTTCCAGGTGACTCTACGTACATTCACTAAATGACGGACTTAAGATACATGAAAAGTAAGTGGGTAGAAGCCCGGGATTACTGTCAAACCCGACCCGCTTAACGTAATCAGTAACAGTATCTATCTAACTACCGAAAAAAACCAAAGGCAGTTGAGAAGTATTGTCCAGTTTCTCAAAAAAAAAACATCTCCATTATCGATAAGCGCTGTGTTCGAAAGCCGGTTGTGCGGAGGACATCTATATAAAATAATCAAATGGGACAAAGTACACGATGTGACGGGTCAGGTGAGCCGGCACGTTAGAGTTCCCTTATAACGCCCTGTGTCATAGCAATACCTTGCAAGGGGCGCCTGTTGGTAGCTAGATTCTTTTGAAAACGCCTGTCCATGCATTTCTATGCTGTTGACAGTAATCTCGCTCTTCACAATGTATACTACTATTGTATACTTGTATCACATCACAAATTCATGGGAGCTTCTGTTTAACAGGGTATTTGGTTCCTACATGACGCAGAGTTATTGTGGTCGCAAGTGGTGCACTAACACACACTTATGCTCCAGGATCCAGGATTCCGCACCGATATCGCCCACGCCAACCAAGACTTCCATCATTGGGGTCAGATAATTGGTAGAATACTTGGCTGGGAGGACAAGAGCACTGACTTGTACGTCAAATGGCCACTGCAAATCATTATATAGGCCGTATAAAAAGTCTGGCATTAATCAATTCCACCATGAGATGCTCCATGCGTTCAACTTATATTCAGAATCGTAGTAGTGGCTTGAACGCGTGTATGGCCCTATACAATGACTTGCGGTGGTCAGCCGATGTACAAGTCAGTGCTGGTGACGTCCTAGACGAGTCTGGTACTAATAAATCAACTCCGGAGAGACGGAAGGCTTTGGCTAGCGAGTATCGAACGGGGATTCGAAATGCCAACCATGCGTGTGTGATAGCGCCCCACTTGCCACTACACCATCTCGACCGCTGTATAGTAGCGGCACACGCGTCGACAACGCCGCTACGATTACTAATGGAAGTCGAACGCGGAGTGCATCCTAGGAACGTGATTGATTAGCATGTGAGAGGGTGACCAAAGGGACTTTAGGTAATAAGCCATGCAGTTCCCCACGTAAATTACCCCTTACTTTTTCATTTTACCAAATCGGGGGAATGGAAGGAAAATAGGTCAAGGCATCAAAACGAGGTCACATCATTCCTGACCTTGCTGATCGGAACCCTTTCGTCGGCATTTTGCCAATTCGTTGATTCGCCAACTAATTAAACAATAGGAAAAAAAATTATTGTTCTTCTTGTAGATTTCGGGAACGAATTGCGGTCAAAAGCAAACGAGCAAAAGTCCTAATATGAAAATCGTGCCCTTCTTGGACCGCAACTTGCAGGCCAACAACGAGATCCATCTCAATAACATGGACAATTTTCCCTTCACTTTTTTCGAAAGAGGTCACTTTGCCTATGTTGCAAAATGATAAATCCACCTCATATTTTCCCCTCATTTTCAATTTTCACCTCATACATTTGCTTTATCTCTGCCAAGCTTTCCAATTTAAGTTATGGGTAAAGAAAGGTTGCCATCCGATTTGAGGAAGGTTTCTGAGAAGGGAAAGTTGTTCATGTTATCGACCTGGAATTCGTTGTTGGTCTAAAAGTTACGGTCCGAGTAGGGCACTCTTTTTTTATTAAGACTTTTCCTGAAGTACCCTGGAACCTGAGTTTTAGTGAAATTCATGGAAGTTATGATGCGCCGATCACAACAGCGCCGCTTTGCCTACATCCAAGGTCATTATCACTTTCGAAATACATAGAAAGAAGTTATGATCAGTTAATCTGAGATGTAAACCACAGTAACTAAATATACAAGCGCTAATGCTCTACTCCCACTAAAAGTCCTGTTTTTTTTTTACTATTCGTTCTATATATGTTAGAGTGACAAAAAAGATTTCCGAGAATTTCAGATCAGAAAATCAGGGTATTGAGAAACTAAAAAACTACAAAGGTCTACAAAACCTTACATTACGCGAAAAATAGAAAGCGTTTTCAATCGGTCACCGCGTTACCTTAACAGATGCTTCGACAGCATCGAAAATACATGTCCTAGCATTCTAAAAGCTCCAGGACTCTTAAAACATATTCACTATTTCTCCAAACCAACTAGTCTTAACGTTTAATAGGGGAGAAAAGCCAATTTACGTAATAGATAGTTTACGTAATAGCTACGCTGTCAACCCCTTCCGGAACTACCTTCTCATTATCCTCAACTGAACAAAGAAGACTCCCGTCGCGACAAGCGCGAACATCCCTGACTCTGCGTGTCTGGGATAACTAACATGTGGAGGTCAGCATGTGTAGGATCCAAAATGATGGGTATTTGGACCTCGGGACGCTTAATTCGAAACGGCCTTCACTATCTGAGCCAGCCTTTCCTTTACTGCGGGACTGAGGATTTCGGAGACAGTCAAGCTAGATGGTAAGGCTGTAGCCTCGAAGCGCAATCTTAGGTTTACTCGGCTCGCTGCTTTAGTGAATTAATCTTTAACTACTTTGGCTATTTAACTCGCTTTTAGTTGATCAATGGAAAGTTTAGTCTCAGCTGACATTCTATAAAAAATTTACGTTTTACTCAGAATGTTAAAGGTAACAAGCAACTAATATGGTTGTGTAATTGAAGTTTCTTTGGTTTGGCTTTTTTTTCATCTGTTGCTTTTTGGTAAGCAAAAGTAGATAATAAGAAGTGGTCAAGTATACTGTGATTTCCTTACATCAATTTGCCCCAACATTAAATAATAATACAAACCAAGAAAAAAAATTGAACCCTTCTCTAGACTTACACATTCGACTCGAAAAAGGGTCAAAAAAAAGTGGATTCATGATGTGGCATGGCTCATTGCGAGTACCTTGAGCTACAAATTAGCTCCATGCGCTTCTAAATGCTGAAGAGCAATGCTGGAGCTGGATCCCAATCTAGCGCTTCATAACGCATTCAGAAACGTGTACCTCAACATGTTTTACAAAAGTAATCTTTCGCTTTTCTTATAAAATTATTTGAAGTCGTTTTAGCTCTTGGGACTCAAGAAATCTTCACCTAAAATTCCCAGAGGAACAATCAACTGTTATACCTCAAAAAGGAGTCACCACACTTACCCTCGCCCCTTCCCTACACTTCCAACTTCCAATCCTCTGCACCTTCAAACTCCCCACCCTCCTTTTTCTAGCCCCCTTCCCTTTATAAAAACCTGCAATACATTTCAAAGACAAAACAAAATCATAGCCGCAAGATTTAGTTATTATCGTATAAGTATGGCGGAGAACGGGATCTGCAACTTTGTTAACATCGGAGGACTGTAAATACTACCAGTTTTGGAAAAATACTCAGATTTGCGATTATGAGGTCGGTAATCGGCGAACGTCTTTATTCCCCGTGCGCTCCTTTGCTGTTATTAGGTAAACTATATGGGGCCTATCTACGGTTTCATCAAGCCGATCCTATTATAGCGGATCCTAATATACATAACTTGATTCCAAAACGGTTTGATAATAAAATAAAGTACCGCTGTGGTATTCATTCCAGCAAACATGGCGTTTAATGCATTTACCGGATCTTCGTTATTCCCCGATGATGCATTACGTTGAGCATTCGCAGCTGGTACATTAGAGAAACCACTTCCAAACATCCTGAAACAAGTGAAGCGAATGAGCTCTGGAAGATAATGAAACAAATTCTGAATTACTCAGACTACGGCTCTCGGAAGTTAGCAATAATTAACAACGTGTGATTCAAGACTGATACCCTGCTAGAGCCGGTGCCTCTCGTCGGAGTATATCCATGCCCTGTTGAACCATGCGTAGTGCCTCCAACACACGAGGATTCGACATGGCAGCCAACACGTCAGGATTTGACATCTAAAGGTTCAAGTCTGTTGGGGAATTGTAAAAACACAAAAATTTAGAGAATTTTCACAAAACCAGCACAAGGATAGATGAACCGTTGCGGGGATCTTAAAAATAGCTGTTATATTGAATACACTCACCATGTTCATCATATTCGGGAGCTGCGCACGCAGTTGCTCGGCAAGTTGAGGGTTATTTGCAACCAACGGGTTTTGTTCCATAATCTAAAATTTAATTTTGAGCAAATTTGAACATCCAGAGCTCACATTAAATAGAACTTCAGAACCGATCAATTTATTTAAACTTATCCAGCAGTGACCCCAAATCAAGTAAATTTCTAGAGAAATAGGTCAAAGAATTAAGCAAGCTTCTCATTGTCAGTACAGTCGAATATGATGCAAAGAGATTTTCATACAAATCTTAATGGACGTTCTATGCGAGACGTTGATAGCTAAGCTTTGAAACAGATATCCAGCTGCTGTTTGGATGGGCTTTTACTAACTTCAAGGTTGTAAATATCGTTCAAGGAACGCAAACTTTTTCAAAGTCATAAGGACTTCTTGTATTTAACTTAAAAAAGACAGAAATATGCACAGCCCCATGAGTTATGACACCAAGATATTGTGCAACGTGTTCGTTCAAATTTGAGCAACGACTCAATAATGTTCGACAATATTTTTAGTTGAGAATGAACGAATTGTGACATCATTAGGTATTGCATGAATTACCTGTTGAACGACTTGTGGGTTTTGGGAAATACTTTGTCTAAACAAGTCCATCATTTCAGGTCGCATCAGAGATTGCATAAGAGCTGGATCAGACATCATCTGTTCCATCAAAGAATTCATTCCAGAAGACCCAAGAAGCGCTAAATCACGGCATAATTACTACAAGAGAATGAAAAATCAGAGGTATGTGACTAGCACTCTTTTGAACAGATGCACTGCATCCAATACTGAGTCGGTAGTAACTGACATGCTAGCCCTCCTTCAGGACCAGTTGCTCCAGCGGTGTTGCTTTGCGAGTTCTGCTGAGCATTCGCTGAGCCACTACTACCCCATGGATTTGGCAAAGCTTCGCTATTTTCTTGACCAGCTCGCTGACTTCGCGAAGCTGAAAACACAGCTTTCAAAAGGAGTGAACAAGTATTTTCAAGGTGAAATAAAACTGTAAAGTGAAACTCACCCGTTGTGTCTTCTCCTCGACGCAACGATGCAAAAGGATTACCAGCCAGAGAACTTGTAGCGCTGTTGAGAAGAGGTTCCTGGACATCTTGGTACAAACGCTGTAATGCAGCCTCACCTCCAGGAATACCCTGAACACAAGAAAAATAGAACGTTAATTTAAGCATGGATAACCTAGTTAGTAATTCAAATGATAGATTTTCATGTATTTTAAATCGTTCACAGTCGTGAAAAAAAAACCCTAGGATAAGCGATTGCCAAATTTGTAGTTTGGCAATTGCAACTTAACTGCAAATGAACAAACTTTGAACGGTAACACAAGAAACACCACGGCTCCGTTCATGCAGAGGTAATTACAAAGTTCCCAACTTCGATTCAAGGAGCAAAGGCCAAAAATTCTCAACTTCGATCGGGATGGTTCTCAAGTATGAAAAAAGTGGATGGAGACTAGTAGGGAAAAAGAGGTCAAAAATCCAAATTACGCGGATCGTACGCGGAGATGGACCGAGCTAAAAACGAAAAGTCACACCTGTGTCCAGAACGGAACAAACGGGGATAGAGATTAGCAAGGAAAAATGTACAAATAGGTGGAGTGAGCACCGACGTGAGAGAGATTGCAAAATAAAAATTCACGACATTGCTCATCAGAGATCTAGGAAAAAGAGTGTATGACCCACGAGAGGAGTTCAACTGCAAACAAAATGTACACCTAGGTGTAAGCATAAGCCGAAAACTCACAACTTACGAAACATCTGAATTTAGAAAGTGAGAGACAGAGATCAGCAAAGCTAGCAAATGCGCATAGCAGGTGGGCATGTAGCGATGCAACAAAAAGGGTGGTTCAGAAGATCAAAAGTACATGGCCAAGTCCGGAATAAGTTGGTTGTTTAGACAACAGCCGATAAAAACTGACGGAGAAGTAGAGGTCAAACATTAGCGACAGTTCCTCAGCCATAATAAAGAATCGCATTAGGGTAACGAGATTACTGGTTGCTGGGAAAGTAATGAATAGTTTAGTAAGCGCACAAATGCACACATAAGCAGAAGCTTTGAGAAAAACTGAATTTAATGGGAGTGGGTTGGTGGACAATTTCAATATGTGATCGACCTGGATAAGGAAAAGTGATTAAGATAACACATCCTGTGCTTCAGACTATATCGATCGAAGTTGTGGGTTCTCGACTTCAGAACGGCCAAGAAGGCTCAAACTTTATAGATACATTAACATTGGTTATAGATCAAACCATGGGTTTGTTGCCACGCCCGCGTTAGCGTGAAATAGTCACAACAAACGCTGGACCGACCGAAAAATGATACATTCTGTTATACTGAACCAACAGCATTCAAATTTCAAAGGAATACCGGAAGCAGGATGGGAAACCTTCACAGGCTACAGAAAGTGATTACGATCAAGGGTGATAAGGCTCGAAAAGGGATTTGATTGCGCCATGCGACAAAACTCATCCGACAGCAACTGGGAATCTTGTTCCATATAGCCCACATTCACGAAGACAAGGGGATCATAACACACAACAACAACACAACAACTTCCGTTAATTATACGAAGTCAACAACATTATAAGCGCTATTTGAAGTTTCGGGAAACTAGAACTCCACACTCACCTGCAGGTTGCGTATTGCGAGGTCATGATTGCGCATCATTTCTTGGAACATGTTGGGATTGCGAATCATTTCCATCGTTTGTCGCATCATATCAGGGTCGTTCAAGACATGACCGAGCTCAGGATTTCGCTTAAAAATTTGAATTCAAGAAAAAAATATAATTAAGGAAATTTTAGGATAGTGAAAGCCCAACCTCGATAAGCTGCTGAATTTGAGGATTGTTGGCAAGCAGTGATCGGAAAATTTCAGGATTTCCCATAATGTTTTGCATAATAGGATTATCCATCATTTGACGCATCATTTCTGGATTATTCATCATTTGCTGAGCCATTGCCTGCAAGTAGTAAGCATTTCAGACTGCGACCAGAACAGCTACAGCTATTGCGCTCATGTAGCACTCCTGATAAAGAAACTTACTTGAGGGCCTCCTGCAGGAATTTCCCCACCGAACAGGTTACTAGCCATTGTTGAGCCGCCGGATGCCTACGAGAGTCGCAATGAATCACAGGAAGCATTTGTTTAACAACGATTGGCTTAACCAAGAGTCGAGATCTACTCTCGCATATCAGTTTCAAAATCATTGTGCTTGTTTCTAACTCCTAACCCAAAAATCTATGCTTAAAAACACACATTGTTTCTATCATTCCAAATCAGCCTATATGACACATAGACAAAGACAAAATTCAAAAATGCTCCTAAATAAAACGTTACGTATTTTCTCAACTGAATCACACAGGGAAGCAGTCGTTTGTAGATCTACTTCGTTTTGTGCATGAGCAAAAAGAAAGAAGACCGTAGAAAAGTTTGATGAGCAGAGTTGATAGGATTTTAGCAGCACGCTTCATGGGCGGCGTGTCAGCGAGGCAGAACAAATTTATCATTCTCACTATTTCATTACCCAAACCTCAGAAAGCTCAATAGGCAGATGAGTTAAGGAACCGAGTACCTCGATTCAGTTAAGAGTTGGACGCAGCTTGAAAATTCGTCATGCTGCGTTGAATACAACCATGAGTGACTCATAAGGGTTATCTACAACAAAATCGCCCATTCACTTGCCCACACTACTGCTCACGAAGAAAGCAAGGATAGCCATGTCTTCAGGAAAATACCATGTGGAAGAAAAATAACCCACGAAGCTACTAGAACATTTATGCATTTGGGAAAAAGATGTGTACAAGAGAGTAATCCCAGAAGCTACTTGCTTCTCACCTGGCTGGGATTGGATGACGGATTCGTAGTAGTTTGGTTTGCGGTAGTATTCGCATGTCCAGACTGAAAATATCACCATTCTGTGGGACGAATCTTGTTTCGAAGTAGGCTTATAATAGCTTCAAAAAGACTACATTTAAAGCACAAGTCTTGTAAAGCGGCATCACCGAGCAACGCAAAACTATGGCAATGGCAGACATTAGCAAGAGAATAGTTTACGGCATATGCTCTCCTCGTTCGAATTTTTCATTTTCATTTCATTCGAAAACCTTACTTAACAACTACTTTCCGCTTTTGATTATGAAACCCACATGTTTATAGTATTAGAACTACAACTTACGCGATTTTGGCCTTGTCGAACAACAAGGTGCAATGCCATGCCATCACCAATATCTGAAAGTCAAGTCAAATCAACGAGAAAACCAAGAAAACGTTAAAATATTTTTGATAAGGTTCGTTCAATGAGGACAGAAAGAGATAAAACTACAACTTACTATGAGTTTCCAATTTTTCGTGATCTTTAAGAATCTTTCCAGAAAAAATCAAGCAGAGAAGAGATTTTTCGACATTATTCAGCTTAGACACTAAGACATCTTTGACCTTAATTTAACAAAATTGGAAAGAATTTTAAAAAAACGCGAAAAAAGCAAAAATCTCACATCTGAAATCGTAGCATCAGCTCTAACTTGAACATCATAAGCTGCAGTTGTTGTTTTTACTTTCAGTGAGATCGTGGACACTCCTTCGTCTTCCGCGTCGCTCATTTTTGATACCTTAAGCATTACTGTAAAACGAAGTTTGAATACATTAATAACAAAAGTAATTTTAGCGAATTACTAGACAAATACAAAACTTTCAATTGCTATAACCCAATCATCGACGAAAATAGGTAAATCGCTGACACGAGATGTACCGACTATCACAATTTTACTTGAGATAACTACTTTAAAGTAACCCTCAATAGAAGCACCACCGCTAGAATCGCGCTGACAAAGTTTTCGTTAACTACCGTAGCAATTTTCGGGAGTGGAAACATGGATTCGTGGCGGGGTGCATGAAGGATTCGTGGCGCCGTGCGTGGGCGTGGCCTTGCGTCGATCGACCAATTGCAGTAAGACACACGTTCATAGCCTGGTTCGTTTGCGGTCGGATAGTGGTAGCAGTATTCTCATGCGGTTGTTACCCTCTATAGAGCTCCCAACTGGTGTTTCCCCAGCTGCCCACCCAGAGGTCCTTACTGGCGGTACCGCGCGGGCAGTTCTGCCTGCCTGCGCGGCACGTCCTCCCGCGCGCCTCACGTGCTCCATCGTGAGCTGTTCTTGTGCGCAGCCGATAGGCATCGATCGGATCGCACTGGTCGATGGAGTGTCGTCATCTTCCGACTGTTCTCATTTGGGCGCTGTAATGAGGTCAAAACCATCAAGGGATCAGTTCAGCTGGAACACTCCAGAATCCTAGCCGTTGTCATGTTTTCGAGATAGTATTGATTAGCTGTGTGCGTCCCGCCACTCTCACCCGACCAGCCGACTGTCCTGCATGCCTCTCTCCTGGCAATCGCCATACGTTTTCCTTTTCTCGTACTTCGCCTACCTTTGTTTCTCAACTGTAAATGTACTCTAACAAATCTGCTTCAGGGTAGGAATCAAGAATGAGGGTCGCAGTTGTGTTGGCCGCGTTGGTTCTCGGCATTTGTGCTTCTGGAGACGTACTGGAATACACAGACAGTAACTTCGATGAACTAATATCTTCGCACGAAGTCGCTTTGGTGAAATTTTACGCTCCATGGTAAGTTCAATTTAGTAATCGAGACTTGGTACCCATCTTACCAACTGCAGCATCGCTGCAATACTATTTTGACCTAAAATGAGTTTTACGCAGAGAATGTGTCGAAGAAATGGGTTGGGAGACTGCACGCGAAGCGTTAACCCAGAAAATTAGTCGGGAGTAAGGCCCTGGACCTGTTGGCCTTTGAAATAACCATAATTATATACGAACAAGGCCCGTTATGAACAAAGACATCGTCCTGCACAAAGCGTTAAAGCACCAGAGCTGTGCCAGTCGTTTCATCACGACAACAGGTATAAAATGTATCGTGCTCCCTTCAAATGTGACCCCCCCCCCCTTTTTTTTTNTTTTTTTTGGGGTAATGCGTGAGTAAATTATAATCTTTCAACGTTTAAGGATTCAGGAAAGCTGGCAGATCCGATGGAAGTAGGTTCAGACGCTAGCAGCGCGTGTGTGTCTGAGAAGCAATCAATAATTTCTAAAACAGAAGCAATTTCTGGAAGGGAAGAAGTAAAATTCATGGAATATCAGAGGGAAATTTGTGTAAACTGCATCAAATTTGTGGCGCAAGACGCACGTTATCAGCGAGCTTTTCAGCTTCCCATCTTCCCTTGTAGAAGAAGTATCCAATCCCGATTTGGATACCTCTTTTGCCAGGAAAGCAGTATGGCCGTGAACACCCGTCATTCATTCTAAAAAAATCTCTGTAGTAAATCGCGTTAAAGATCTCTGTAAGATCATCCTTATTATAAATAAGGTTGCTGTCACGAAAGGACATACGGATCTCTCCGCGGCTATAATTCACTGATCCCCACTTCGCCTATGGGAACGAGTATTTTCCGCAATATCTTTGGCCGAAATAGTTAGAAAGGACGTAGCGTTGCCAAAATTGGTGGAGCACGATTGAGCAGCACTCCCTCTTCTTCATTGTGCCCACGGGAAAATAAACCATCACCGTATTGTGGTGACTGCTTGCTACTTCGGTCATCCCATGTTTTCGCAACGCCCATCCACGTGGGTCGTGATCGATACCAAAGTGACTATTGCATCATGACATGATTAGATGCGTTTGAAGCGCTCGCTTAGGTGGTTTCACTTTTTGTTGTGGACTGATAACTAACTACTGCCCTTCGGTTGCACAGTGCATGGTTGGGTATATTCATAATGAAGACCCTCCAGGGTGCTATGTGAGTTGGAGAGCAGGACAGATCTTGACAGTCGTCTTCGCTATTTCACCTACACCAGTTGTAACTTAACTGAGCGCCTACTCTAATCGATAGTCCATCACATGCCGAGCTGTCGGTGGTAGCGGCAAACAATATATATAAGTTGGTAGAGAAAGCACCGCATACGCTTGCACACCAAACTTTCTAATCTATAATTTTTACAGATAGACCCTAATCAGAAAATTATGAAAGAAGGATCTTAGGCTTAGGGAAACCGCGGGAGAACCTTTCTGACTTGATTTGTCATAGAGGCATCGCTTCACAGAACGTTACATGATAAGAATGGGGTTTCTACCATTTCCAAGCTTTCTAAAAAAAAACAGTTGACGACGGTTTTATTTGAAATTGTGAGCCCCATGTAATGTGACTCTTACTGATCGTATGTAGAAGGAGTGGTATTAGTAGTATTTCTCACCACGAACAACAGGCATATGTGCCCGTTCGGTTCAGAATAGTGCAGAGGAAATTCCAGGAAAGGCAGACGGATCTGAGCTGTCATTAAACATTAAATGACACTGTATTTTTAAATAGTTATTTCCAAACATGCCACAGTGTAAGTTAGGTGAGTTCGATACGGCGATTAGCAAACTTTTTTTGCGTGCCACACAATTACTTGTACATCCATCATTCAAGACTTCCTGCCATGAAGCGTGATATGACTTATATCAAAGAAAAAAGCGGGACAGATCCAATAATAGGCTGAAAACTTCTCTGCCTAAGTATTACGGGACAAAAATCGTTCCCAGGCTTGGAACTGTGTTGTGGGCTTAAGGCGGGCATTGAGCGCGGTTCACTGCGGCTGCCTTACCATTCATGCCCGCACGTGCCTTAACTGCCATCTCCATTTGTATAAAGCGTTTCTTACAATTTAATAGGACAAATTGTCCAGGTCGTACAAGTTGATGTGTAACGTGCTAGCGTAATTGTAGTTGCTCAGCATCCAAGTGCGAGGTGATTCTAATTAGGACGAAGGCAGAATGATCGTCTAAGTGATCCTTTACAGTTCAGCAACTTAACCTCGTCGTGAGGTGGAGAGACAGATGCAGGGAGTCGTGAAAACGTTACTTCTAACTGTTTCCCGTCTTAGTGTATCAGTTAAGCGTCAAACCACTAAGACTGTCATAGGTCATGTCAAAACGCTTGATTCAGGCTGAATTGAAAAACTTAGCATCTGTGAGTAACCATTATTTTTTGTGATGCTCCCAAACGCCCTTTCCAACTTGAAACATTACTAGAACAACTGTAAATAGAATGGTAATTTTCCCGAGTTAAAAGGCGGAATCAATCTTTGTTTTTACGAACTGAACTGACCTTTTGATTTGAGGTTGAATTGTACCTCAGATCAAAAAGCTCGTCTTTTTGTTGTGTTTGCGCAACAATGTGTTTGTACATTCGTCGCGCGGTGGTCTTGTCGAAATAACAAGTATTAACACTGTTAAATTAGTTCCACACACACACACAAACACAAACATTTGCGAGGCACCTTACCGTTTAGATTCTCTTTCCTAGAGATATCGCCCCTCACCAATAGGGCACGATATATGTGTGAAGCCTAAAAGCACTTACTAATAATCGGCGAAAGACGGCTGATTATTAGTGAGTGCTTTTAGTATGTTAGTAAGTAGTTCGAGGCTAATTTATTCACAGGAAGGGGCTCTTACTGAGGTTTCAATGTGACTTCAGATTTGAGCTTAATTCCTCATTCGTGTGTGAGATACCGAGGGTTCTACACATTGCTTTCTTCTGCCCCATTTGTGAATTTAAAACTGCAAAATTGATAGTGAGAAAAACTCTTAACAAACGAAGTCTCGCTTGGGAGAGAAAGACTGCAACGCTATAAGAGATGGTCGAATCAAGTAATTAGGTTCATATTGAACTTTCAGTGTGCTCGTAGGACTCATTTGACTTAAGAAAACTACTGGGTGAAAGATAGGATTTCCCTTGCATGCTCAATACTCGGCAGTAATCACGTTTTTTCTGATCATGGTTAGCGTTTCTGCTACCTGCTGCGCTCAAGCGGGCTTTGGAGGAAATTGATGAGACAGAAACTGAAAAATCTTGAAACTGCCCGAAGTAATTAGTGGACAGGGTAATCAGTTCAAGAGGTAGTCGGTCCTCGTTCGGAAAAGGTGTTACCGGTCGGTGCATGTCATTGTCGGCTTATGATGTCAGGATGGTGGATCACGATCCGGCTTCGTTCCATCGCAGTAGATGCATTGCCAAACCGAAACCAGGCAAAACTTAGTCGCCAGAAGACGTCTTTTCGGGTGAGACAACGCAAAGGACTCGAGGAATAATTCAAGAACGTGGGATTTCGCCCTAACAGCCTTGTACTCGTGAAGGGCTTGTAAGAGTTATAGAACTGTGTTGTGAAGTGTTGGAAGTTCGTAAACAGATACCTATCTTGGAATTGGTTCTGGTGCAGTTCCATGTAGAGCCAGTCAATCTACTTACTCTCTTCAATGTGTGATTCAATTGTCAACAGATCGTCTGCCCCGCACTTTCAGTGACTAATTTACTTGCCAGTGATCAGTTGTGCTTCGCGGACAGCTAATAGCACAGTAACGGTTTCCAGCAGTTTTTATTTCTCCAGGATGAATGGAACGTTAAAAGATTAGGGGAACTGCATCATTATAGATCTTGTTAACCGAGTGTTTCGAGTTACGACTTTGAATGGTAGCCACGATTTGGATGTCATTGATGTCAAAATCTTGTAGCTCTATACAGCTGACCTCTGTATTGGAGTAAATCTTAACTATAAACCGACATATTCGATTCTTACCGCCGGATGAGAACTGACTATATGTGACGACCTTACCTTGCGATAGAGTAGGCCTTCTCATATCGTTGGAAGCAGGTCATCTCTTGTAACGATTGTGCAACAGTTGTGAGAGTTGGTTGGAAAAAGTCTCTGTTATGAGAAGCCAGGAAACCTGGGTTAGAATTTTGAATTTATGTTGAAAGGTTAGCTTTGAACCCAGCGATAACTCGAACACCTCACAGTTGCTATCCCACCGTCTTGGAAAGTCAATTCGCTATTATGTGCGGTCCTTCCAAAATCCATCGTCATCCGAGAGTTCATGTCAGAGAAGCGGACTCACACGTCGAAAATTAGCCATAGGAATTCTGAAGGCAGCTCGTTTCCGACGCACAGACGGGATTCTTCCCTGCTTGTTCTACGTCCCCTCTGTTTTCGGTCAAGATGAACTTGTGTGCCGCTCAGGGTTCCTAGCATCTGTCAAGGTAGTCCTTCATAGGCCTCATCATGCATTTTCCTACAAGCAGAGGGCAGAGGGCAGGCAAAAAATGAGGACCACCAATGAGCAATGGAAATGTGGCAGGTTTCTACGTGCCACATTTTCACATTTTCATTGCTCATTGGTGGTCCTCATGCTTTGCGTTGATTAACGGGCGAATTGCAGTAGGTGGAAGGCAATGGTGTCGATCGACATGTCACGACGTTCATGGCTCGCACGACTCACTTTTTAGTTAACGCAATTAAAAGGCGCTCAACCATGCCGTTCTGCTCCTCTAATTTTATTAAACTAACTGATTACTTTTCCGATCCGATTATTAACTAGTGCGTTGACTCGCAAAGCAGAACAAGCTTGTCTGAACGCATTGAATGGGTTAAATCGTAGGGCGAATTTCGTGAGTCCTAGAGCTCGTAATATATCGATCGACGGCAGCGCCCATAACTTCCTCGTTCGCTCATCAACCAACCCGATTATGAAGGTGGCTCTGATAATAGATTACATGGAAACACTACCGAAGGAGGCGTGGAGGCGATTTCGTTCTTTGCTGCTTCCTCGCTGCTTGGAGAACTTAGGGAATGTATGCCGTCTGTAACTCAGTGCAATCGAGTGTCATCACGTGTTGGTGAAGAAGATCCACATTCACTTGCCCACAGTTTAACTGTGCATCTTGTTTGGGGCTTCAGAGCATAGGCTACCAGCATTTCTCTCCGAATCACACAGCATCAGCGTCTTCTTTGGGTTTTGGGAAGGAGACACCGTCGCGGCCGACATCCCGGTATGGCTCATCGCGAGTGGTTAGAGTGGTTAATCGAGATGTGCTGGCGTCGCATTTGCGAGGGTAACCAAGAACAACAAATAGCTGAAAAGGATTTACAGGAGGAGAAATAATCCCCGTCGAGAACAACTTGAAATTTGTTAATGACCAGCGAAGTCCTTGAGTCTGAATGAAAGTCATGCCAGATTTGATTGGCTTTNTTTCAAGTCCTTATCTTTGTTAAGTTGTTACACTTCGTCATACCTACAGTCTTCACACATTGGTAATGTTTCAAAAGGATGGGAGTTCTGGCGTGGCCCTACCTTATCAGGATCGATTGACCTGCAACCAGGTTGATAGCCTCGTTTATGGCATGCAAACACAATAGCAACCCGCATTTCCAATCACCGATTTGTCTTGGAGTATGACAATAGTGCGAGGGGAGGTGAGCATTCATATTGGAGTATAGTAATAGTAGCGATCTCCTAACACTCGTTTTCTGCTTCCTACAACAGTACCGATGGGTTTGTCGGCTCATTGAAGAGCGGCTCGCTTCTTTTCTTTCTAGGTATGTTCCTAAACTCATCTCAAAAGATCCCTGACTGCGACGGAAATTAAAATCATGTTAGCATTGGAGGTAGTACCGAAGGAAGAGAAAACATGCGAGGTTGATATAATTCGTTACACTATTCTACTACAGTAATGATAGAATGTAACATTCCCTCATTTCCAAAATAATTTTGAAGCATTATTAATTTAAAGGTATTCATATATGCCGAGGCCAATCAAAAGGGAAAAGTTGAAATAAAACAATCAGAATGTGAGGAGATGCAAGCTCCGTAAAGATCCATTATCTGGGGCGCTTATTAAAAGACAAATTTATTACACGCAACACACATGTAATACAGCGTTACCAATTTACTCTGCTAGAGTAAATGCTGACTTGTACGTCGGACGGCCCCTGTATTTCACTCTGTGGGCCTTATATGCATAAACCAATGCGTTTTTTGCTAGGAGTCTACTGTGTAGGCGCATTCTGGAACTGATTTACTAGTCCTAGGGAGCCTGACCATCTTTTTATTTGAATAATAGTATGGGAAAGGCAGCGAACATCAAATTGAATGATTTTCAGAGCATTTTTTTTATTAACTACATATACCAAGTTTACAAATGGGTGTGACTGAATAAACAAACCAATATTTAATCGAACAAATACGCGTATTGATTACTTTTATTCAAACAAGCATCGTCACAAGCTGTCGCAACCTAAAGAAAAGGCCATCAAAGGCTACTGCGATCTCTGTAGTTTGGACAGCTTGATTGAACAGGTGTTGCGACATTTGTGCAAAGTGCCTTTCGGCAACATAAATGTGTATGCGATTAGCTCGCCCAATCCAACGACCACCATATTTGTACCCAACGATCACCATGTGTTTCGGCTTGCCCCTTCATATTAACGGGGAACTACTGTTACATCAAATGTAGAAGTCATTTCGTTCATACAGATTGACTTATTGTATAAAGGCATCAAAAATGTTCTGTACTTTTTCATTCCTAATCCATGTGAAAGGTATTGCACTGAGAATGACGCTGCTTGGCAAATTATTCCACCTTAAGGCGAGAAAGAATTTCAAGAATGGGTCATCGGTGATAACTTTATTCGACTTTTGTGTGAGTAATACGATTTTGGGTTCAGTTAGGTAAGAGTCGAGTCATGTGTGGTCGCGGCCCTTTCCCCTTGGATGAGCCTTCGCTTGTGTACACATATACAATTTTCTAGTTGGTAATATCCCAGAGTCAGACATTCCAACTTTTTTGGCTCTTAAGTACCTTTGCTATAGATCTGGATTCAAGGCCTGTAGTAGTAGTAACGATTCGAACGACTCGCACCATGTATGATGTTTTATTTTCTGACTACATATCACGATTGATTGCAGGTGTGGACACTGCAAAAAGTTGGCCCCGGAGTTCGACAAAGCAGCAACAAAACTGAAGTCCAATGATCCACCCATCACACTTATAAAGGCAAGTTTGATTACTTATGCTAAAAATGTTAAAACCATTTTTTACGAGGCGACCAGATTGCTTTCAGTGATTTAGTGTAGGCTATGTGTAGTAAGTGGAGACGTAGTGAAATTCATTTCAAGGGGATGATTTGGGGTGGAGACATGTTCATCTCTTCCATGCTGGTTTGGTAAGAGTTCTTTTGAATGTAGGGTTAATGAAAGTGGCGAGGGCTTATGCATTCTTGAAGAAAACATCAAACCTCAACTATTTTAAGGCGTGTTGTCTAGTCACATACGCGCACCGCGTACATCGTTGGTGGGAGTATGAAAATGAAATTTCAACCGCCCTTGCAGATTTTCGAGATTTTATCACAAACTACACTTCAGGTCGACTGTACTGTTGAGAAGGCTACATGCGACAAGTTCGGCGTCAAGGGATTCCCAACGCTTAAGATCTTCCGTAACGGATTTGAGGCTCAGTCATATGATGGACCACGTGAAGCCGATGGTATTGTTAAATACATGCGAGGACAAGCAGGCCCGTCTGCCAAGGAACTTGTGTCGGTGGAGGACTTCAAGAAATTTGTTGGTGGCGATGAGAACGCCGTTGTTGGTTAGTGATTATCTAAAACTTAGATTTCATTAGCTTTGTATTCGGCCATCGTTTTTTGAAGAAATATACTTTTCGTACCATATAGGCTTCTTCGAAAGCGAGAGCAAGCTGAAGGACTCTTTCCTAAAGGTTGCCGACACCGAAAGGGATCGCTTCCAATTTGGGTATTCCTCAAATGCCGCTGTTCTCAAGGAGGCTGGATATACCGAGTATGTTTCACTATTTTTTGTAACAGGCTGATTGCATTTGAGATATATGTAGTAGCATTATCTAAAACTGCTACAATGTTACATAGTAAAAAAAACTGTTGACGTCGCTTTCACAACACAGAATAACAGGGCCAAAATTGAGGCACCTAAAACATTTCCGAGAGTGCAAAAATAAATGTATTACCACTGTACTTGACGTCATGCGTCACATGGAAGCTATCGCAAGTTAACAATATTGTAATATAGTACATGTAATTTTACCCACTCTCTCAAGATAATTAGATTGTATACTAATATGTTATAATAGCATGTTGCATGGTGTCCGAGTATGCGAGATAGTCCTAGCTTGCAAAACAAGCACAATCAGGATATCCTATCTCACAGATTGTATTATTTTACAAATAATTTAGCACACGAAACACAAAACAAACAATATTAAACATTGGTACACATTTACAACAATTCAAACTTCACACGCAGCTGCCGCACTTCATACATCTGTCGGTCGTTTCTGCGAAGTTCGCTCAGCACAGGGAGCGCCTGCAGTCTCACCAACTGTGTGTGTCCATCGTAGTACGTGGCTAACATCATGGACCTTCTAGATCTTCTTCCGTCAGCATCTCTGAAGACGAAGCCTAACTTGCTGCTATTGTGACAATGCGGAGTATGCCATTCATTGATCTTACCTATCTGTGTTCGTTTCGTTGTTCCATCGCAGGGAGGATCATCGAAACTGTGGATGAAATGCATGAGGTCCACTGTCTTCCTTTTGTAGCTGTCCTACAGGATAAGCAGCTATCTATAGTTTAATTCAGCTGTTGTGTTTCCTGGGGTGTCCATCAATGGATCACTACGGTTTCAAAATAGAAGCGTGATCCTAAGCAAGTAATTGGCTGTATCACGTATCTTACTTCCAGTGGTTGGCTCATCATGAGTATAGCGCCGAGAATGTGTTCCATCATGGTAGAAACAGGAATTCGAATTCATCAGTTCATCGAAAGGAATTGATTTCTCATAGCACCCTGTAGCAGTTGAATGTCTACCAGTTCTCATCGTTTGCATTGTGAGCGAAAACCTCTACCAGCGATAACCAGTACTAATACAGATCTCCAGACTAGGTAATAGTATTGGTTATCGCTGGTAAAGCACTTCGTCACAGTGGCTATGCAGTGCCATATAGTTGTGTCACCGAAAGTCGTATACACATCAGTTGAATCGGTATCTTTTCAAATCTTCTGAAATGCAGAAGGGTATCGATACTAACAAGGTGGTACGGCCGCACAAGTCGATAAACTTTCCCGAAGGTCATCTTGGCTGGACGATAATCTCTGGATGATGCGTTCACCCGAGATGATGACGCACCTGACTTCAGTTCAGCTGGTTGCTTTCATTTAGGTAAATCGAAAAAGAGACCTGTGAAGGCAATCCGCACGCCATTTGGAAACATTAGGGCTGTTGAACCTTCGTGTCGGATTTCTCTCGTTGCCATGAGGGTTGTCTTGTCTGATTTCTGACTCTAGATGATATTTACTTCGCTCACGGTTCATTTTCTTGGTGGTCTTTTCTTGTCATTAGCGAAACCGAAGCACGCATTGCTGTACTTCAGCCGTGACGTGAAAGCATTCTATTCATATATCCATGAGCTCCCGTGTCATAGCGCCTTCAGGCGCCGACGTGCATTGTTGTTTGTTTTCACCAACAGATCGACCGATTACGGCCTTGCTGGCCACGTGTTGGCAATACTGGGCAAATGGGTATCGCCCACGCGGCTCTGATGCAATCCGTCCTGCGTTGTCAATACGTGAAAGGAACGTTGTCAGTACGTCGGCCGGTCGGCGGAAGCAATGCACGTCGCTGGAGTCTGAAAGCACCCTCACTCGCAAGGCACGACTTTCCTATGATTTCTGTCATTTTTATAATAGTTGACAACCAAGGTTGTAAGAGAAATTCACCCACTGAGCTTAACAATTCTGAGATAACTATAACCCTGGTCATCACTATATGTTCAGTTGCTGATATTTAAGCGATATCGTGGTCTATACTCCGAAGAAACTTCACAACAAGTTCGATCCGAACGAGTTCAAGTATGATGGCAACTACGACACTGATAAGATCAAGCACTTCCTCGTGCATGAGACTGTTGGGATGGCTGGAATTCGTACAATGGGGAACCTCTTCCAATTTGAACAGAAGCCTCTTGTGATTGTTTACTACAACGTGGATTACTTAAAGGATCCGAAAGGTATGGATTCCAACGGACCGGTCGTCAAAGCACTCCTTTTTCAATATCTTAAGAGCCTTTTCAGGATCGAATTACTGGCGAAATCGTGTGCTGAAGGTGGCGCAGGACTACAAGAGGAAAGTTCATTTTGCTGTATCTAACAAGGAGGAGTTCTCATCGGAAGTTGACCAGAATGGTCTAGCTGAGCGCAAGGATTCGGATAAACCAATCGTTGCAGCTATCACAAACGATGGAAAATTCCCTATGGATGATGAATTTAGGTAATCGTTCTGTTCTTACGATTCTATACGCTCATGCCTACAAGCTCGCAAAATCCCTCAGACTTAGTTGATATTTTCTAGCGTGGAGAATCTAAAGGCATTCGTCGAGAGTGTCTTAGCTGGTAAGCTGGAACCCTACATGAAATCGGAACCCATTCCCGATAACAAAGAAGCACTCAAGGTACTCTTGGTTTCCACAAGAAAGAGGATAGATCTCTTCCCTCAATGCTATGTTTATTGTTCAAGGTGGCTGTTGCTAAGAACTTCAAGGAGTTGGTAATGGATGCTGATAAGGACGTCCTCGTTGAGTTCTATGCTCCATGGTGCGGCCATTGTAAAGCACTTGCTCCTAAATATGAGGAGCTTGCGAAAACGGTAATCTAGATGAAGGATCTTTCTAAGATGTCTTTCAATGATTGAATATTATTGCAGATGGAGAAGGAAGACGTCCTTATTGTGAAGATGGACGCCACAGCCAACGATGTGCCTCCTCTCTTTGAAGTGCGAGGGTAAGCTGTATCGTTTAACTGAAGTGTCTAACAGGTGCACACTAGTCTTTTGCAGGTTCCCAACAATCTATTGGCTACCAAAGAACGACAAGGCTTCTCCAGTACCTTACAATGGTGGCCGTGAAGTGAAAGACTTCATTTCATTTATCGCCAAGCATTCTACTGATGGTCTCAAGGGCTACACACGTGATGGAAAGAAGAAGAAGTCTGAGTTGTAGGCCTTGATGATGTGTTCGTTGCTCGTCCTTCTCTTCACATATTGCGGATGATCCCGAAGCGGATCCAATATGTGATTGGATGCCGTTTAGCGCATTTTTTGTTTTATTTATTCATTCCAAGGGTGTGCCCCACGGTTGTTTGTTGTTGTATAGGCTGAACATGTGCCTTGTTCATGGTTTTAAATGCCCCATGTGGTTTTTCGTGCAGTATTTATTTATTGAAGATGAATAAATTTTTATGTATAACTGATTGTATACATACACATCCACCTACACATACTGGGACACTACTAGAGCTATTCTAACCGGGTAAAAGAGAGAAGCAAAGGAATTTGGAGGGCTGGCTGTTGGTCTCATTTGGACGCCTACTAAATTGCGTGCGGCTGCGTCGCGGTTCTTTCTGCTAAGCTATTTCACGGAGATTCTACAACTCTATCACAGTTCGAGGTGTACCGGTATGCCTCCATGTGGGTTTCTTGAAGCATGTGTACCCATGAATGGCCTCAATGTTATACATAGGCACTTACTAACTGTAATATATCCTCAACATCCCTTTATAAGCAACATACTCCTCTCATTTGATCCATTGTATTGAGCGGCAACGTCGGGAAGGCGTTGATAGTGTGCACCACCACTTTTTTTTATGTGGTGTAGCATCTTTTGCTTCGTACAATCATATTATACTAAAGCATTTCAATCTACAAAGATTAGGGCTTAAGGATATGCTTGTTTTCGATGCAAAAATTGTAAAATGGGTGCCTGAGTGCCGCGCCACGTAGGCCGGGTGTACCGTGACGGTGCCCCTCGCATTAGCCCCCCTTCCCCTTAAAATCAGCAAGCGAGTAAATAATGAAATATTTTAATGACGATTTCCCTGTTTTACTACCTTGCTGTGACTCACCCGCAACTTATTTTCCTTTTAGGTGGGTTTGAATTTATTGTCAACGAGAATTTTCTTATGCCGTTGAATAATTAATGTCAATTGGAATGTA